AGATGTTGCGTTTAGTCGTTTGTTGCTCGGTATATGTATATAATCTGGGATGAGACATGTCCTTGCATTGCAACAAGCTCTAGAGGAAGCATCTCATGAGCCCTACCCGTGGCTTGATTGGTGTCCCAAGAGTGAAGAGCAGTCTTCCATAATGGCCCGTATCTCATGAAACCCATGGTTCATCTGCTCGAGTCACAAAGCCTTGAAGGCATTCCNNCCCACACGGTTGGGTGTGCCGCTGAGAGGTGCTGGATGGTGTTTGTTCTTCCGACTTTTGCAATCTGGGTGCGTGCGATGGTTGGTCCTATATATGAAGGTGTGCAAGTCCTCTAAAAATATAACATGCTCACATGCACATATGCTCTCTCTCTCTCTGTCTCTCTGGATCGCGTCTTCTTGTTATTCCTGTTATTCCATGTGATTTCCCATGTGATTTCCCATGTGCTTTGACAATTTGAAGCTCTCTGCAGCCCATCGCCGCTAGAGCCTTTCGCCCCGAGCGGCGAGGATCCACGTCTCAGCGCAAGTCTGGCCTGGGCCAGCTGTTTTTCCACGCCACGCCATAGAAGCCTGAATGATGACCAATCTTATGCTTCGGGCTCCTTATTGTAGTTACTATACAGATACCATGTTGTTAGGCGGCGGCCTGTTTAATAATACCCCCCCCCCCCCCCCNNNNACCCTAAACCCCAAGCCCTAAATTCCGGCAGGCTTGATTAGTGAATGTGTTACCCGTGACCCCCTGGACCTTGGCTTGGGGTCTAGGTGGGCCACGGTGGTAGGAAATAGTTTAGACCAAGTAAGTAGTTCGTTACTCGATGAATTAGTTGCTTAGTATTTGTACTAGTTACTTAGAGAAAGCCACTCCCCAAAACCTCGCACCCACCGAGCCTGAGGCTTCCACAAAATCAGGTTTGATTAGTACACAGGAGGGTTTAAGGGGGGGAAGGGGGGTTGCGGGTTTATGGAGAGCTTGGGGCTTCAGGGCCAGGGTTTTAGGGTTTGGAGGGGGGTTTAGGTCGGGCTTCAAGGAATAATATTGTGGGTGCATTAAGATTGACCATTAGCAGAACAGAAGGAAACAGCAAAAACATCAGCCCGCCCCATAAAGAGAGACCGCCCCAATTTTTGGTAGCGGCTTGAATAAGCCCGGCCCAGCATTATAGAGGCCCACTCGTCTAAAGGACCGCCACATTATGGCACATCGACTTTGCAGCCCACCTCGTCGCGCATGAGCCGAGGCCCCGACCCTTTTGGAGCCCGTGGCGCTGCCTGCAGTCGGGACCTCGGGAAATCACAGTCGCGTGCGCGAATTGCTGTGGCTACCCTGCCTCTGATTCCTCCCTTCTGAAACTCTTGGCACGTGACATGGCACTGAACACCAAGGGTGCGCGTCAAAATCCCAGACCATATATCGCTTCCAAGGGGTGCAGAAATCCCATAGGCGAAAGTCCTGAATCCGGCCGATGGCGGAAGAAAAAGTCTTCGCCCAAGGCCCTCAAACACTATGTGACACCAGAGCCAGGCCTTCAGGTGGCGCATTTTGCGTGATTTCTTGCACTTAGTCCGTTTGTCACGTTTAGGTCTGACGTTAGCGTGATCAGACGTGGTACTGCTGTTGATGCAGTGCTGTTCGTGTTTATGGCTGCTAGTTGCATAAATGTGGTGGTTTCCGGGGAGAGGAACTCTGAGGGTCATGGCCATGGCGACGTTTTTGCTGGATGTCGAAACATGGGCTGACGGAGGCGATGAAGGCGATGCTTTGCAATTCTGCTGGTGCCGGTGGTAGTGATGGCGGTGCAGGTGTCCCGTCTCGTCTTGCTTTGTCGGGTGGTTGATACTGCGATGCGTCAAGATGTTCTTGGTGGTGCTGCTACTGATGATGTTTCACTGCGACAAACAGCCTGGATCTCGAGACGAATTGATACATGATCCTCGGATCCTCGTGTTTTGCAGAGGATGGGTCTGTCCCGTATCAAAGCGAAGAGCCCGACACCCAATGTCTAAAGGATCCGGCCGAATCCGAAAATCGTCTGGGAGGCGTCGCGCGACCGACCGGACAACATCGAAGACACTCGTCACGCCCTCAGACACGAAGGCGAAGACGGCGGTTCAGGGTTGTTGGATGTCTTGGCCAGGGACTCCCCAACGCCTCGTCTGATTTCCTGCTTCTCAGCCTCTTCACATCTTCTTGTTTTGCCGGACCACTATAGAATCTATTGGGCACGCCCATGAATCTACACTGGGTTCCCATGCAAAGCCGGAGTGTGTAAAGCACCGTACCCATGTCCTGAGTGGAATGTGCCACAAGCTTCTATGATTCCACGATACGTGTACCAAGCTTTTAATCTTCCGACGGAGCCGCCAGCAACTTTGTGATGTGCTGCAGCTTTTTTAACACTCAGCCGACTAAGCCGACAAGCCCACGAGTTACTGTCACTAGACCAACCTCACTTTTCGATCTGTCCCACCGGCTTCAGTATGTTGCAGATCCGTGTGTGCCGGCTGCTATGGCCGGCCCTGCAAGCAGTTTCTGTTTTACAAGCTGCCATATGCATGCGAGTCAGCCGACGTACGATGTTCACTACAACACCTGCAGGCTGATTTTCCCATGTGCCACAGCTATGGCGGCTGAGTACTATGCCAGCTCTTATCGCGAATTCAAAGAGATGGGCATGGATGAGGCGCGGTTGCAAGGAAAGCGGTACATCCTGCTGGCCCACATCCAGAAACGCAGCATCAAGCACACAACATCTTCGGATCAGATCGCGATATTTGTATCATGTAGCTTCTTGCTTCCCGGTCAAGGAATCCCTCCCCGAAGCAAGAAAACTCTAAGCCCCGGAGTTGGCGGTGTCCGTGCTGAAAGAGGGCTTGCAAGCGCATCCCTTGGACGAGGCGCGGTTTGTCTGGGGTTCCAGCGGTTCCAGGGCTTTGGACAGGCCTGGGTTAAGTCCTGTCTCGTGGCACCAATTAGAGGTTTATGGAGGTCTCAATATAATTAAGTCTACAGGGTCTCAGGCTGAGACTAAGCAGGGTCCTGGTTTAGCCCTTGCCTCTTTTTACTCGGGCGTGCCGGCGATGCTCAGATTGCGAGGTCTGGAGGCCCGGGTGAGGCAGCGAGGGCTGCAGTATGCGCGCTCAGTGCCGGGTGAGAGAGCTTCCAAGGTACAGTACGCCCGAATACACATTTGGAATGCTTTCACTCTCCTGCTGGTGCTGCCTGCTACAAATCCAAACAACACTGCCACTGCTGCTTCCCTTGCTCCTGCTGCTACTATCTTCTCCTAGCTGAAATCTTCCTAGCACCAGGGCCTGGCCGAGCTTTGCCGCGAGAATGGTCTCGGAGACGAGGCTTTTTGGGGGTCGGAGGAGGCTGTCGTTCATTCTTAGACTTCGAGGCAGGGTTGAGGATGTGGAGAGCAGCAGTTCCAAGATCTTCCTTGCAGTGGTAGCTTGCGTGCACTCCATGGGCGGGACTTGAAGGATCCGAGGGGCTTGGCACAGGGTGGCCGTAGCATGCAACGAGCTCACCAACTCGAAGATCCATGAAGCCAGAAGACTCCTCCACTCCGAAGGTGCGACTCCCGGCTAAGGCACCGACAGAGCAGATCACGCAGCTGGGCCGGATGATTAAGGCTGCGGTGTTGCCAGCCTTGGTGGGTACTTAGAAGGCTGCACCAGTCCAGGGCTTCAGTGGCATTACACGGTGGAGGGCCGTTGGTTGCTTCGGCTGCGCCTTGGAGGTTTGGGCAGTAGGCAGCTTTTCGTTGCAATGTGCATCAAGGTGTTGTCGCGACTAAAATTCCAGCACAGGGAGGCGAAAGCTCAGCAGAGAACACCTGATGCAAGTTAAGCTAAGGGAAATCTCTGCGGCTACAAGTTGCAAGTTTCTAGGTGGAGCTGCTCAGCACCCTGAATTTCAGGTTGGAACAGCTTCTGACTGGCTCCATCACAACGCCGCCCGGCTGTGTTCCAAATTCTGGGTCATTAGCTCGCCCCGTCCAGATTGCCTAGGCCGGGTCACATTTGACACTACCCCGATGATTTGATGCTTCCCTGGGACTGGCCGCCTTCATCTCTTATAGGGCTGTAGGCTTCTATTGCACTCGGCCCAAGGATGAAGCCGCAGATGCAGAGACCCGCCGAAGAGGACGAGATAGCGCCCACGGAGCTCAAGGATCCAGAGATGAAGCTCTCATGAACTCTCGCATTAGCGCTGCGCGCCTCCGCCTCGCCCGGGCTTACATGCCCGGAAGACTTCGACACCCGATTCTTAGCACATTTCCGTTCCCGGATCTGGCAAAGGCTACTGGCATACTGCTGCGCTCTTGTCTTGCTAGTCACCGGCCACTTTCCTGATGCAGGAGGCCAGTCCCACTAGAGAGCCTGTTCGAAAAGCATCGCAAGCTAGGCCCAAGCCTGGGCTAAGAGAAAAGCTCTAACCACCGGCACTAGAAGTCAATTCATGTTTCTGATGTTGAGCACTTCGTGCCCCGCCGTGTCTCCATGAAGAATAGTACGCTGGGCTCCTGGCAAGGTGTGAGCTGACATGATTAAAAATTAGCTGATGTAGTAACGGCAAGCTGGAGTTTGCCAGCTTCATACCCTCTTGACGCGCATATCGAAACCCTACAAGCACTAAACGCCTAAACCCAAGGCCTTCAAAACTACATAAAGACAACCACTAAATCCTAGCTCCGAGGAATGGAGACGAATTCTGGTCAGCCCTGCGCAGCCAGAAGTTGAAGGCCATGTCCATGGCCATGATCTAGAAGCCTATACTGACAGCAATCATTGCTACCACTACTCCTTAGGGTTGCTTAATCGGAATATGCAAAAAGGCACCTCGTAACTAGCCCTGTTGTATTTGTTTGTATTTGTTAAGGCCCCTATATATTCGGCGTTTGAGAATTGGGTGCACTTCTTACGCTTGGCATCGCTGCCTGCGACTATCAAATCCGTTGGAGGTAGTGCAGCTCTGTTCGTTTCCAGCACCTCAGGCAAGGCTAAGCCTAAGCTAAAGAGGCAACAGGGCTGGTGCTTCTTTTGCAGTCTTCCAGTATCCGTGAATGGCTTCGTGAAGAAGGTGCTGAGTGTCACCGGGAGATTTTCCCACGTATGCTTCGTGGCTTTGGGTGGAACTCCGTTCCACCTTGGGATGAACTCCACGTCTCATTCCATATATGGTTGACATGCACTTCAGGATTTGACAAGCTGACCGTTCCATCACCTGTCTGTGAGGCGCTGCTGCTGGAACGGGGTGGGCTCATCCGAGTGTCGGCTCCTTCGATCTAACGTGGCATGATTTTAGGGTTTAGCATTTCGGTTAGTCGAAAGTCTCTTATGCCGCAAACGGCCGCCCATCTGATTTCAGCACGGCTTAAGTCAGGAGGTCATGACTCGATGCCTCCGCTGCTGCACAATGTTCAGTCCTCCGCCAAGCCAGATACAGCTCAGGACTTCCTTCCGAAGGAGCTTGCAGAGAAGACCTTTGCCACCATGCGACTTGTCACATGGATGCCTCTCAGGCCTTAAGGTTAAGCCCACGCAATAGACCCGCAGCAGACAAATCTATGGTAAGCTCAAGCCGCTAGTACATGGGTTTCTCGGGACCGGCGGCTGTCATGGAAATCCATGTCCTGCAAAGAACTGTGATCGCCGTGACTACAACTATCACAGCTGGAGATAATGAAATTGTTGCTACTGTTAAAGTTACTAAAACGACTTCTCCGACTACAGCTAGCTACGCCTACCACAACGACGACTACAACTGCGACTCTTGCTACTGCCAGTACTCCTCCTCCTCCTCCTATTAAACTATTATTATTATTACTACTGCTGCTGCTGCTACTACTACTACTGCTGCTGCTGCTGCTACTACTACTACTACCACCACTACTAGTGCTGCTGCTACGATGCTGCTGCTGCTGCTGCTGCTGCTGCTGCTACCACCACGACGATGACTACTACGGCTACCACTGCCACTACCACAGCCACCACTGCCGCCAGTGGTACTAGTCATCACCACTACTACGATTTACGACGCAGTGCCTACGCCACAAAGAACATTCAACATCTCGAACATGATCCGCAGTACCATCATAGTCGTCGACGAGTATATAAGTCTTCAGGCCCACAAAAGCCTCGTTGATGCCACCACCAACTACTCTCCTTGGCTCTAGGCAGTCCCTGCAACCTGGCGAGTGGTCCGAGTCCAACTCCTCCCTCTATGATGACAAGGGGCAGTATGGCGACAAGAGCGCCAGCCACTGGTTCTACAGGTGCTTGGAGGGGTTTGTGTCGGAATTCCGGTGCATAACGGCGTTTCGGCTTCAGGGTTGCGCCACCTCAGCCTGGAAATAAGTTTCTCAGAAAGCCAGTTTCTGCTGGGTTGGTAGTGCTTTACTTGACCTCGTGTTCACGGAATTCTCCCAACGAGTTGACTAGTCAAGTTCGCAGCAGAAGTTCTTGCAAACTCCGCTTCCCAAACTGTGGCATACGGAGACTTGCGGGACAGGTATGACGGCGACAAGCTGGATGACACTGTTCGCGAGATCCAGTCCATCGGATCTGGCTTCTTCCCCAGCTTCCAGGCTCTGGGTCAAAAAAAGGACATCCCCCAGTAGCTTCTGAGAGACCTGGAGGAGCAGCTTTTTCAAAATTTTCGCATCTTAGAACCCAGGGGCTGAACTCAATCCCTTGGGTTAAATCGCAGCCTTGGCTTTCCCGGAGCCCCTGCATTGTCAGGCTGCCAAATACGAGACCAGTGGAAACCTCAGCGCCCACGACGACAGCAACTACTTCCGGGTACCCCCTACGGACCCCAACCGCAGCAAGGACCGCCTCCTCGAAACGGGGTGTTGAATTCTGTTTCAGATTATCATGAGAATATCAACGTGCCGCTGAGCCTAAGCATCCTAAGCAGGTTCATGATGCCGAGAACAGCCGTGCAGTACACGGACCTTGGGCCTCCGAAGCTCACTGCCCCATCCTCCTCGCAGTCAATTTCAGGAGAATCCAGCTGGCCAGCTGCTCTTCCGCAAGATCGCGGTCATATACTACCTGACCAAAGACTGGCGTCAGGACTTCTCGGATGACCCTCTTCGGCTTGGGATGTTCAAGGAATGTTGACATGAAAGTTTAGGGGTGGTGTTCAGTGTTCGAGCGTATCATTACAAAGAGCAAGAAATTTTCCAGCGCTTTATAGTGTATAGTGTCCATACATTTCTTTCCCTGGGCTCGCTCTTTTTCATGGACAGTATCAGTGCCTTACTCTGACTTGCTCACGAAACGCCCATATCTGTTTGCCCAGGTTCCGCCCCTTCGAAAAACGTCAAGAATTACAGCTCGAAGATGAATTTGGAGTATCAGCATCGCGGCAGTTGCGCGGTAGATGATGACGTAGAATATACAAACCGGAACAGGTGACAACAGGTGCATACATACACCTATACAGATATTTAATGCACTACAGACGGTAAGGGCAAGAAGTATTTACACTACTCGTTGTGTTGGTTGTATTCACAGGGCAGCCTACGGCACTTCGACGAGCTATCCGATACCCAACTTCCACAACAGCAGACAAGCTTGTGTGGTCTACAGGCTGTAAAGCAAAGGCACGATGACTAAGTTTCGGGTCAAGGGCTCCCGAGAGCGTAAGGAATGTGCGCGTGCGCGTGACTGTAGAAACTGGAGCGCAGCTGGCGTCCGCAGATTAAAAGTCATCTATGTTGGGGTCGGCCCGAGATTGCAGCTGTCAGTTCGCTTGAACATATCTGTTATTGAGAGTTGCTGCTGCAGGGGTGTGGGTGCAACGGTTCGACGCAACGACTTAAGAACCAAGCCGAAAGCAGCGCAGCCTTGCAAGCCTATGTGTTCCTGTGTGCTTACTGCGGCATGCCGAGTGGACATGGTCTGCAGTTGGCAATTCTCAGAATTAGGCAGTTACTTCCCTCTCCGAAAAAGCACCAAATCGGACCAAACTGTGTGTTATTCCATCGCTTCTGGGTCTCTTGCTGGGAGAAATGCATCCTGCAGCACTTAACCCAGTGATTCCGAGCACACTGAAGCAATGCTGCCCCAGACATCGCTCCGAGAGAAGGACTACGGCGGGGCGTTGTTGGACCTCCATGGAGAGACCAAGCAGCTCGGTTTACAGAGAAGGGTATCTGAAGTCTAAGCTGCGTGGCCCGGAAGCGCCACGGGCCCGAATCTTGTACAGCTACGGGCCCTTACCCGGGCTTAAAGCGTTTAGGGCTGGGGTGTTTTGGTTCAGGCTTTTGCAGGATTTCTGGCTTCAAGGCTGTAAGCCCCTCTAGTTGTAAGGCCCCAAGTGTTCCAGGCCCACCTCTCAAACGCCGGAAGCCCAATACACCCTACCATCTCCAAAGCTGCACAGACCCCTTTCAATCCTCAAGCTTTGAGATATGCCCGGGCCCAGGCAACTCTTGCCGCGCTTCAATTCCCTCGTGGCCTTTCTGGTGTGCCAGAGAGTGATCAAGGGCTTACAGGGCTCTGGGTTACAGAACTTACGGTTTTAACGGTCGTAGGGCTTTGTAAGGATTTGGGGATAAATGTGGTGCTAACAGGCTTTTATCATAAAAGGGTCAAAGTGGGAAATGGGCGGTCCCAAAGCTGTGAGGAGCAGTTAGTGTGGCGATGCATGTTGCACTTATACAGGCCTCGGGAATGGGGCTCTTGAACTAGTCTTTTGCATGGCTATCGTGGCGTGCTTCCTGTCGGTCTGAGAGTCTGAGCGGCTCTTTTCGGGCAATTAGATGAGTTTTTGCTTTAATTGCAGTGTCCTGCCCTGGTTTCACGGAGTAGTCTCTTTGGCAAGGAGAATTTTGCGTGATTCGCCAACGGTGCCGCTGATTGGCCTCATCGGCGAATCATAAGTTCCGTTGAGATCATGCAAGCTTAGACTGCTGAATCTTCGCAAGCCCAGAGGGCTAGGCTGAAACGCCCTAATTGCACAACACCCCAACTGTCTTCAACCAAGCACCATTGTTGAACTTGGTGGAGGTCCCCCGTGTCCATCAAGTCGAGGAGCTGGCTGCAGGCAGCTGGGATTACTATTATTATTATTATGTAATTTTTTAAACTATTATTATTATTGTTGTTGTTATTATTATTAGATTGCCGGGCAAATTTGAGACGAAGAAACTTGGCCAGCCAGTCTCCCCATGCTCCGCCCACGCCAAAGCTTAGGCTGCCCGCCCCGCTTTTCGATCTTCGGCTGGTTCAGCGACACTGCACCCTACCCCAACGAGCAGGGCTTGGCACCACGGCGGATAAGTATATAATAAATAACTAAATACACAAATAAATAAATCAATAAATATAATTATAACATATATATATATATCTAAATAAAAAATCTATCAGTATGAACCAACGACATCAGAATAATGCCTCTTTTGCATCGTGCTGAGATTCAGCACGCTCGAACCTAACAGTCTTTAATCTTCCTGGCATGTTTATGTTTGCTAAGGCCAAAAGACCGTGGCTGTCGACCATGGATTCGCGTGGCCTTCGGTAGGGCAGCGCTGGTACTGTGATCCCACCTGTCAGCTTGCTGCATCACAATCGGAGTTATTTTCTCGGTTTTCTCCTGCACTTCGGTGCTAATCGTGTTCAGAGTCGATGTGGGCTTCGCAGAATTAGCGGATTTCATTGCCGGCGAAAGAGAAAAAAAACTACCAGTTTGTCTGCAGCGGCAAAGCACCGAATGCAATACCTTCCATCCCTTGAGTCCGGAGCCACAGGGGTGCCGTGTGTGCGGACTATATGATACTATACTCTACTCTGCTCTACTCCATACTAGTCTCTATATATATATATCTATATGTTTATATATGTATACATATATATATATATAGTTTTGTTTACTAACTATGCTATATGATGCTAAACTCTACTGACTCGAGGGTTCCTTCGGGGCTCAGGCTGGCTGCTCGAGTCGGCGCAGGCCGAGGCCGATGGTCTTTGCGAAGAGATCAGGCCAGGAGCCCTTTCTTCAGAGAGGAGCGTAGTAGTTACTACTAAGTAGGAGGAGGAGTAGTAGTAGTCTTCGTGGTGGTGGTGGTGGTAGTAGTAGCAGTAGTGGGCGAGTTTAGGAATTTTGGGGAACCCTCCGTGTGCTCCTATGTTCTTATGTTGGGTGGTTAGATGCAGGTAATTAGTAGGTCCAGAGGGGCTTTCTTTACTGGTCGAGGCGTGAGCTTGTTCTGTTGGTCATCGCCAACCTTCAAATTGGTTTGCAGTAGAGACTCTTCGAGCAAAGCGTCCGTTCTTTTTGAGATACTGGCCTAGTTGCAGGAACCGTCCCCTGCTATAACACCTTTCTGAGAATAGTACTGTCAATGCCGGATCCCGCCCTCTCTCGGTTTTCGGTTGAAGCTGTACGTACAGTGAGGCATTGGAGTGAGAACGAAGCTGCAGTTCTCTCTAATCGCTTTATTCCGTACACACACACACATATATGTACATATATATGTACTTATTTATGACATCCTCTGACCATCTATGTGTGTGTGTATGCATGTGTCCAATTTTATATGCATACGTATACATGTGTGCGTGTGTGCGTATGTATAGACTTTTCTCAACAAACCTCGTGTAGAACTGAGCACTGCCAGCTCTTAAGTGTGAGTTGATTGGATCGTTGCACATGTTCCTTTAGTACCTTCATTCATCCTTTGTCCTTCACACGGCTTTTTATACGAATGTAGTTACTGGCTATGCATGCGCAGACTTTGCACGCACGGTCCTACACACACAAGCGGACCCCTTCAGGTGCGTGATGTCAGTAATGCACGCAGGTAGAAAGTAAGTCTGTGCGGACATGTGCATGCATATTATAGGCTATACAGATATACTTATTGGTCTTGCTCGTACTCGTACGAGAATCACTTCTGAATTCTTCCGTAGAAAAATTTCAAGCGTCTATCTATGATTGTGCTTATCAAAGCTATTGCACTAGCGCATGCACATCACACACCACACAGACACACACTGGCGCATTAGAGAGAGTTCGAAAGCAGCGTTTGTTGGTGGGCCCTTGGCTGCTTCTGCAAGGCGCCTGATGCGGGTAAGGGGCCCAGAAGCAAGTTGTGCTGGTCCGCGGAGGCGGAGGAAGAGACAAAGGGTTGCAGCTTCGCTTCAGTGTGGCTTACCGTAGTGGGTACCTGTGGTGTCTTATCACTTGAGGGGTTAAGTTGAAGTTTTACGATTTTCAGGAAAGCTTCGGGATCGCGGCTGTCGTCGCGAGCAGCCATTACACGGGGTTTATGGTTCGTGTGAGGATGAGGAAGTCCGAGAACGCGAAATCCCTCATCAAAATCTCTCAAACAGCACAGTCTGAAAACGGCTCAGCAGTGAAGCCATGCCAGCGGATCCCGCCATCTGGGTTATCTTGTCTTTCGGTGCTGTCGCCCTTCAGTGGCCCCGACTCGAACAGTGCAGTCTGAACGGATGTTGTTTCAGTGGCTCTATACCATCTATACATCCGGACCTTTCCCCAAGCACGCTAGCTTCCGAAAGTGTGGAAAGTCTCGTCAGGTCAGCGACATTTCAGCAGATGTCGCAGATGCTGGAAGGACCTCTGGCCTTCCAAGTTCCAGCTGAATAAGATATTTTAGAAGTGTGCTGCCCAGCTATGCACCCGCTAAAGGTTGTGCAGTACCAGATTCTCGGCCAGAAGCAGTCGACACTTTGAAAGGGGTGTGAATATTCGATCAGCGAGCAGACAGAAAAGCGATGTTGGTGCCTGCATTGCTTGGACAGTCTCAAGAGCTTACGACCACAGCCGATCCATGTTACCACGACCGCAGATTGACCGAAGGGTTCTGCAGGGAACTCGCTTGAACTCCTGTTCATCTCTTCAGGGGTCTTTTTAGGCAGTCTCATCGATGCAGCTACCGAGAGCAATATTGGTCAAGACCCTTTACCGCACAGGACCTCGCCAGACCAGCAGCAGCAGCAGCAGCAGCAGCAGAATCAGGCGTGGAGCTAGAATCCGAAGCATTGGATTTCTAAAGCATCTGTCTCCAGATCAAGGTATTTATAGTCGCAGGTACTGCTGCCACTCCTGTACTTCGAATCTGACAGACGATACTGCGCAAGCAAACCTTCTTTAGTGACTGCACCACCATACCGACTTGACACCTGCCTAATTATTGATATTTTCCCCGGGACATTGCACAGGCTGTTCATGCCTTGCATTATCAACTTAATATCTGTGTGCTTGAACTTTCTTCTGAGCAGATCCTGCGGACACGAGCATCTTTGCCAGGAGCTTCAAGTCCCATTTTCTGCGATGATCCTCTAGATACTGTAGACTCTATCTAGACTCTAGACATTGCAACGGCTTGGCGTAAGCAACAGCTGTGGCCTGCCGAAAACCCTACTGTACGCCCTGCGCCGCCTCGAACTGGAAGTTTGCAGGCGCAGCGGATCTACCGAAGTGTGGAAGGGGAGCTCGACTCCCGGTACTGCATGCTACGCGGGATTTGTCGGCTGAAGCCGAGACTTCAGGTCATGGTTGGACTGGCGTGCGGCTTGCGTGGAATGCTGCTGCCTGTTCACGCTGCATGTGTGTTGAGCCTATATTTTGCAGAGGCTAGTGCGGCTTCGTGAACAGCATGAGGCCTTCTCTGTCTGCTCTGCTGTGGTGTTTCATGCGATTTGCAAGGGGAGATGTTGCATTTCACATTCGCCCGCTGCATGCATGCGTGTCCCGCATTACAATGCTTGTCCACAGGCATGCTCTCAACAATTCAAACTGAAGGGTTTTTAGTCTTGGTGGATCTTGGAGTGATCGAGGTTTCGAGGTTTTGGGGCCCCCTAAACCCCCTGACCAGCACCACTGTAGTACTACTACGTATTGTTTTGCTGCTGTACTACTACTGCACTACTACAGTACTACTACTGCACGGCGACTGTACTACTGTACTGCTACTGTACCATACTACTTTTTACTTCTGATGCGCTGCTACTGCAACTACTACAACTACTAGCACTTTTGGTAGTGGTAGTCGTAGTAGTAGTAGTAGTAGTAGTAGTAGTACTAGTAGTAGTTGTACTAGTAGCACCAGTAGTAGTAGTAGTAGTAGTAGTAGTAGTAGTAGAAGTAGTAGTAGTAGTAGTAGTAGTAGTAGTAGTGGTACGCGACGACGACGACTACTACTCCTACTGTATTGCTGCTGTACACCTTTCTGAAGAGCCGATCTATCCTTACCGGACGCATCAATCCCAAAGAGCTTATCCCCACCCCCACACCCCCCACACCCGAATCCGGGGGTCCACGGTTCAGGCCGCTGGGAAACCTTTGGGGGCCGGGGCCACTAAACCCAGTGTCACATTGGTCAAGATTATTCTTGTCCCCATTCCAATCGTCATCATCACCACTTCGTCTTTACTCTCAGTCATCATATGTGATCTTATATGTTAGGGTTAGGGGGTTTTTAACGCCGTAAGTAAGTGTGCTGGCCGATGCGACAGCACCGAAATCTATCTTTTCTCAGGATAGCCCATGTATTAATGTACCGCTCTGAGCCAGCCACCAGTGGGCAAAAGCAGGAGCTTCTGGAGAAGCAATCTGAGGTGGAACGGCTGCAGAAGGCAAAGGCTTTGGCATTTGAGCAGACCCCCGACTCCACGTCTCGGAACGGCCGTTCTTGGTAGGGGACATAGGCCACGTAAAGTATTTCCATCCAGGTACCCGCAGCACAATCAGGTGTGGGAGGGGTTTGCATGCCGAGTCAAAACCTGAATGTTGCCCACCTTGCAGAGTTCATTGCGGATGAACAGTAGCTCCAAAGAGGTGAGAGCAACCAACGATATGTCCTCCGCGTGCTCGCCTGAAGTTTACAGCGTCCAATCCCAAACAGTCTGGCTGAGCAAACAACAGTAAGACATAGTGTAAGGCTACATGATGACGGAGACATCTTCTCCACGAGCACACCAAGTACTCTTTGATTGTTTGAAAATGATATTGGTAGTGCTCGAAGCCATTGACCTGCAGTTCCGGGACGAAGCTGCACCTGCCCTCAAACAGCCCCTGATGTGAAAGGCTGAAATACTGGAGCAGCGCGATGCTTTGAGAGCCGCGCAACAGCGCCAGGGTCTCGAAAATTGGTCACGCTGTCGGCGCCAGGGAGTGATGTGTTTTATTCTTCAGGCCCAAATGCCACTTTCTCGTGAAGATAACATGCAGGTGTAGGATGCTGTCTTGAATAGGTGCAGCTTTGGCAATGGGGAAAGTCGATTAATTTCGTTC